GCGTGGCACCCCTTGGCCCTGCGCCCTCCCCGCGGTGCCCAGCGGTGTCACTGACCTGTCCCCTCTCCTCTCTCCCGACGTCCTCGCTGGCTAGGGACCCGTGGAGGGCAGGGCAGGGCTGGGCTCGGTGTGGCCGTGCCAGGGTCCCTGCGCGGTGCCCGCTGCGGCACGGCAGCGGCTCTGGGCACGGCGGGGCCGAGCGGGGCTGAGCGGGGAGGAGGCGGGCGATGGCTCCCAGCTGTCTCGCCGATGCCAGGAATCCGGTGCTGGCTCTGTGCACCCAGAGCTCGTCACCGTCTCCTGGCTCGTCTGCGGGACACGGGGGAGAGATGAGGGAAGCTCCCTCCCCTTTCCCGGGGAAAGGAAAGAGAGACAGGGAACCCGCCTGGCTGCAGCCCCGAGGCACGGGGGAATCCGAGGCACGGGGTGGCAGCGTGGGGGAGAGAGGGCTGCAAGGGTGTTGCGGCACTGCCAGCTGGGAGCAGCGTGGCATGCTGGCATGGGGCCTGTCAGGTCAGGAGGGTGCTGGGCATCCCTGCCCAGGGAGGGGGCATGGCCGCTGCAGTGGGGGCACGTGGGCAGGGAGGAAATGGATGCTCCAGCTGTGCCTGGGCTTCCCTTATCCACAGCTGGGCTGCCCCTGGAAATGCCAAGGGGTGCACTCATCAGTAGGCAGAGGTGGCTTGGCAGAGCCTCGGGGGTCCCTGTGCTCTTGGAGAGGGGATGGTGCCAGCCAAGGGCAGCGCTGGGAAAGGGTCCTGGTCCCACCAGCTGCTTCCCAGTGCCCCACATGTGTGTGAGGAGCAGCGCCCTGCACAAAGGCACCTCTGAGGCTGCAGAGCTGGCCTGGCACCGGCACATCCCCACGGGGCTGCCAGCTGCGGGCAGCTGGGGCTGCACTGCGATGGAGACAGCTGGCCATGGGCAGCCTCAAGCCTGGCACCTTCACCCCTCCAACACCTCTTCCCAGGGCACGCCCTGGCTTGTCCCCGCTGGGGGGTGATGGTGCCACGGGGTGTCTCTTGTCCCAGCAAGGTACAGGTGGGGTGCCCCAGTGGTGCCCTACAGAGCAGCCTGTAGTTCTGCGGGGGCTTGGTGGGCCTGTGCCTGCTCTGTGCTGAGGGTCCCATGGAGCATTCCAGAGGATTGTGGTGTGGGGCTGTGCCATGCAGGCCCTCACCCGGGCTCTGCCCCGCGCAGCTCCCATTGTCTGCCCTCATCAGCTGCTGCCTGCTCGCGGCTTTGAACATGAGCCCGGCTCAGGGCGACAGGAAGGAGCCTCTGCTCCCAAGGGATGGGAAACTGCATGCCACGGGCCCCCCTTCTCACAGCCTCACACTGCCTTCTGGGCATCCCAACACTGCCTCCAGGCCCACGCCTGAAGGCAGGAAGGGATGTGGGGCACCCCCTCCCTCCAAAAAGAGCCCCCCTCGACGGCCCCGCCCCGCTGTGGGATGCAGAGAGCAGTCAGCCTCCCCAAAGCTTTGTGCCGAGCGTGGCTTGTGCCGTGTCTAATCCCCCCGGCCTCACACACACGCGGTGGGGTGGGGGGGCTGTCGTAATGGGTGGAAATATCTCATAATTCACGTTGGACACAGGGATTACAGCCATTCCGGCAATATTTGCACAACTGGTAGGCGACTTGCAGGGCTGGGCCATCCCAGATGAAGGCCAGGGGGGTCTGGGGATGGAGGCAGTTTTGGGGGGTGGTAGGTACAGAAGGAGGATGCAGTTTGGGGAGCAACGGAGCCGGGGAAGTTGCTATTTTCTGTCTGTGAACACATGGAATTTATTACAGAGGGTGCATTGCTGACACGGTGGGGATGGCTGGGGCTCTTGCCTTCATCTCCTGCTGTGGTGGCCACGGCTCAGGGAGCAGAATGGAAACCCCAAAACAGCCTCATCAGCCACGCCAAACAGACCCTGGCAGTGCTCCTGAACAAGATACCTGCTCCGAGTGCTCCACCAACCCCACAGAGCTCCCTGCTCACAGGAGCGCCCAAAGGTGCTGGTGTCCCCCTGACCCCAAACGTCCCCTCCTCAAAGGCTTTGCAGAGTGACCCCGGCAGGAGGAAGATGGGGGGCATGTGGGGGCCTTGTTTGGCATGGGGATTAGCAAGCTCCCAGAAGCGATGGTGGTCTCCCCCCTCCCCACCGGACATGCAGGCAAATATTTGTGCCCAGACTTCGCAGGACAGCGAGAAGGAATTTCATTCTTGCGCCCACCTGCGGCTCGGCTGCCTGGCATTAACCCCTTCTCCTCTCCGCGGGATGGAGGCGGAGGGAGGAGGTGCCCTCCCAGCGCACTCCGTGTGCCCCGTTGGAGTGGGAAGCAGGGTGGTAGAGGAGGCACAGTGGAATCGCCCCAGATGCCAGCACAGCCACTGGCACCAGGAGCCCTTGTCCTAGGCAAGGAGGGTTTGCCCATGGACATCCTGTGGGCAGCACCCAGGGCTGTGTGCTGGGCAGCATGTGGCTTGCTGAAAACTGGGAAAGGCAAAGCCCTGCCATCCTCCACCCCCAAGCTGCTGCACCCCGACCAAGGTGCCCCTTGCAGGTCCGTTCAGCCGGCAGCGTGGCTGCTCTCCTGGGACGGCTGTCTGGGAGCAGGCAAGGACCAGGCTGCACGGGGAGCAGGATTTGCCCACGGATGTTTATTGGCAATTTGCATATGTAGCAAAAAGCCCAAAGGGTCCAGGAGGGACCCTGCTCCCGGACGCTGCCCGTGCTCGGGAAGGGCGGCCCGGGGAGAGGGTCCCCCGCTGCCTGGCACCCGCAGAGCCCCGCTGTGCTCCTTTCCCTGGCCCCGGAGCCAGCTGTGTCCTGAGCAAACGGGGCTGTTTGCTCACGCCGGGATTAGCCGCTCTCTTTGTTCCTTTGACTTTCTCTTTCCTTTATGCCAGACCCTTTTATGGGGGCTTCAAAGGGGGCTAGGACCCCCCTCCCTGCCCCTGGAAGGCCAGGTTTGCTTCCCATGCTAGGACTGACATCCTGGGGGTGCCCACCGAGCACATCTGGGTGGCCTGCCCGGACAAGCAGCTGTGCCACCGAACCACAGTCTCCCCCCCACCCCGGAGTATTCCTCCTCTTCCCCCCCCTTCCCTGACTCCAGGCACCTCCTGCTGTCTTCAGCACCTCGGCAAAGTGGGTGCGAACGGCTGTCCCTGCAGCGGGATTCCCAGCACTTTGCACCCTGTAAGGAGAGGTGGGAATCTTGGCACCGGGATCCGGCCAGCTGTGCAGCCCCGCGGCCCCCGCCTGGCTTCCTGTCCCCTGCCAGAGCCCGGGCTGCCTGCCGGAGCCCCCGTGTCCCTCTGGGGTCCCTGCGCCTCACTGCCCCCATCCTCTCTGCCTCTAGAGCACACAACATCCGTGGGATCGGGCTGGGGCCAGAAGCAGGAGTTCTCCCCCACATCCTCCTCTGCCCCCCTGGCATGGGCAGCAAAAGCTGGCATTGCCCTTTCCAGCAGAGGAATACCAGGCTGCCCACGGGCACAGGCTCATGCTGCCTGCCAGCTTCTGGCATTGTTGTAAAAAATATTTTGGAGTGAAGGGACTATTGTGGGCACCTTAGGCTGACCACGGGGGTCCATTAGACCTCCAGTTTCCAGTTGCTCTCAGTTTCCCCTGGTGGGTTTGTTTGCCTAATCAAGAAGGAATGCAGGGCACGGCAGCTCTCCAGCCTGGCATCGCCAATGGCTTTGCACCCGGGGAGGGACAGGGAAAGGACATGGTGGGGGCACGGCAGGGACTGGCATGGGGATGGCGGCGGGCCTGAGGCCAGCGCTGGCAGAGGGGCTGAGGGTGCTGATGGGCGGGATTGCGGGCGTGATGGCCGCTTGTCACGTCCGCAGAAGGGCCACGGCCGTGTGGGGGAAGCCTGGAGGTGTTTGACCCCGGTGCTCACGGGTCCATCGCTGCCAGACGTGCCCGGGCAAGCCGGGGCTGCCAGTCTCGTCCCTGCAGTGGTGGCACCCGCTGGGACCCATCCAGGCACCCTCAAGGTGGGCTCTTGTGGCTGAGCAGGGCAGGTGGAGCAGGGCACGGGTGTTTACTTTAACTGCTGTCACCCGGCCAGGCGCTGCCGGGAACCGCTGTCCCCGGGGACAGGGGTGGGAACGTGCGAGAGTGTGCGAGAGCCGGGGTGTGAGAAGGAAACCGCGCTGCAGGGAGACAGGAGCGAGAGGATGTGTGCTGGGAGGGGGTGTTCCCCAAGGGAAGCCTTGGGGGCTGCCGGGGTGGAGGGTTATCTGAGCACAGGCCCGGCCTGTGCCAGGGAAGTGCACGTGTGTACACGTGGGTTTGAGGGTGCACGTGGCGGTGTGTGCCTGTGAGCGGTATGGGGACACACACACGTACACACGGGCATGGGGATGTGCACCCCCTGCCAGAGTGACCAGCGAGAGCTGCCTTTGCCAGGGAATGTCACAGCCATGCCAGGGAATGTCACAGCCATGCCAGGGCATGGTGCTGAACAGGCCCTGGTGCTTCTCCTGCTCAGGGAGGGGGCATCTGTGGGTGCCTCACTCAGCCCACTCCCAACCAACACCCCTGCTGAAACAGCCCTGGGGCCATGCACTAGCCATGCCCCCTGTGATCCATAGCCCTCCCCAGCCCAGAGGGATGCCATGAACCACAGCCATCCCCGGGATCTCCAGCTCCCTGCCTCACCTCTGGTGGATGCAGGGGTGAGAGCATGCCTCTGTGTGAGGGTCAGCAGGGATGGGGTCTATCTGGATGAAGATCCCCATGGATGAAGTCAACCCCTGGGAAAGGGTCACCAGGATTATGGTCCACCTCTGGGGTGGCTTTTGTACCTGGCTGCCACAGCCAGGAGCAGGACTTCATTAGGGCTGACGTTCCCGGGGCTGTCCAGTGCAGGATCACTGACACCATCTCTTCTCCAGGTACCAGGGCCACCGTCTACCCCTGGACAGGCCCAGCTGAGGCGCTGACGACTGACTGCCGAGCGCTCGGGCCTGGGGCCAGGTGAGCAGCCACGGAGGGCGCCCAGGGACGCCCTTCCCGTGCCCCGAGCCAAGGGAGGAAGCGGCCGGAGGCAGGAAGCCTTCCCCCGGGCCCGGGGCCCCCGCTGCGATCTTGCTGGAAGGTCAGCGGCGACACAACAGGAAATCGTGCTGCTCGGCTGGGCGGCCAGGCCGGAGGCGCGGAGCCGCGCCGTGCTGTCCCGGGGCCGCCGCGGCCGCCGGCCCTCCGTCCCGGCCGGGCGGCTCGCGGGGAGCCCGCGCCACCGCTGCCCTCCATGGAAGGGGGACGGGAGCCAGGCAGCAGCCGCTGGGCCCAGGGCGGGAGATGCAGGGCCGAAGCCCCCAGCCGAGCATGGAGCTGAACAGTGAGTGCGTGGCTAAAAGGGGGGACTGGGTGCGCAGGAGGGGCTGTGGGCACTGTGGCCCCACAGCCAGAGCATCCCCTGCACGATGAACCCCACAGCTGGGCACCAAACCCCAGGGGTGGCTCTGGGCTAGTTGGACCTGGCCAGTGCCAGCATGTGAGGGCAGCCAAGCATCTCTCCATGCCTGCTGTAGGTAAACAGGCTGCACTGAGGGTTTTTGGTGCAGTGCCAGGGCAGGCAGCGAGGCAGGCAGGAGGCTGCAAAGAGGGTACGGAGAAGCTGGCAGGGTGGGCAGCTGCTGGGCACAGCAGCACTGGGGAAGGCAGTGCGGCAGGGGAGCGCTCAGCCAGGGCAGCGGCCAGGAGCAGATGTTCCCTGTGGGACACTGCAGGCTGGGATTCCCCGAAGTGCACATGACGCCTGGAACTGCTCTTGGCAGGGATCCGGAGGGCTGGCCCTGGTCTGCACAGGGAGTACAGCCCTGCTTCCTTGCCTGGAGCACGGCCAGAAAACCTGGCAGACGAGGTTGTGCGGCCTCTTGGCACACTCTGCTGTCACGGTAACCCCGGCTCTCCCCCGTGAGCAGCGGCACCCCTCGCTGGCTGGCTGGAGAGCAGCACCGGGCCCTCCTCAGCCACTCGCACCCACCCTGCACCCCCCCGCGGGGCCACCGAGACCACCAAAGGGCTGGGCACAGGACTTGCCGCTGCAGGGGCTCTGGGCTGGCACTGCCCATGGAGGCTGGCACGGTGCACAAGACAACCCCATCTCCTCCAGGACTGCTCCTCCTCACATCCTTCCTCCTGCATGTGAAAGAGGACCGTGCCAGCCCAGCGCGGCTGGTCTGTGACAACAGGCTTATCCAGAAGTACATCGTGGAGGCCAAGGACATGGAAAAGAGAGTGGTGAGGATACAGTCCCCACAAAACCCAAAACCAGGGACTTGCACAGTTCCTGGCACCTCACCTTGACATCTCTCCTCACTAGGGCCAGTGCCAGGCCCTGCCTGCACTCAGGTGCCCTGCAGTGCTGCCCTTGGTGGACTTCACCTTCCAGCAGTGGAAATCCAAATCGGTGAGAGGGGCTGGGAGGAGGGTGCTGGCACTGGTGTGCTAACAGGACTGGAGAAGGAACCTTGGGTTGGCACAAGCACCAGAAATGCTCAACAAGATGCTTGTAGGCATATCTGGTGGCACAGGGAGGGTAGAGGACTCCATCCAGACCTAAGGTGAGCACAGAAAGCAACGAGGCCCTGGGGGGTCCCTGTCTGCTCCCCCAGAACGAGACCAAGCGGCGGGAGATCCTGTGTGACCTGGCCCTGCTGGTGGGCGCCGCAGCAGGGGCCCAGGGCCAGGTGAGCGACGAGTGCGGGGCCAGGCAGCTGAGCCAGCTTTACCGACACGCCAACTCCTTCCTCCTGCTCCTGCAGACCTTCAGCTGGGAGGTGAGACCTCCCCACATGAGCCAGCCCACCCCGGCACAGGTGCCAGCTGGGCTGGCACGGGTGAAACGGTGTTTGTCACCCCTCTGTCCCACTCTCAGGCAGGACACTGGGAGCCGAGCTGCTCCCCACACTCCACGGAGCAGACCCACATCTCCAGCATTTTCCTCACCTACCGGCAGCTGGTACAGGGCAAGCTGCGCTTCTTCTTCTACGACCTGGCCAAGGTCTTGTGCAAGCAAGGACAGGGGGACAGCAGAGACCCTCCATGTGGGGCCCAGTGAGGCTGCACACGGGGTTCAACCACAAAGCAATGCTGGAGCAATCCTGCAGGACACTAAGCTGTGCTCTGGGTGCCCAGGAAGATGCCCACAGGGAAAGGGTTGGCACCTGTTCCTCAGGTCTTCAGAACTGTGCAGCACAAGAAGGCAAACAGTGACAGTCATGTGCCAGCAGGCACAGGCCCTGCTCCCATCCGGGCAGGCACCTCTACTGTGAATGCTTTTTGATTAAAGAGCTATTTTTCTAAAGAGTTGTGTGTGTCCTTGTGCCTGGGCCCGGGGCAGAAGCCAGCTCCTCTGGGACATGCTCCCAGTTCTGCCCAGTGCCCATTCCCACCCATGGCAGCTGCCAGTGCTGCAGGATCTCCCGGCACAGCCTGAGCTGCCACTCCTCCTCCCTGTACCCACCTGTCACAGGTTTGGGCTCCCCATCCTTTGGGAAGTGGCAGGGCCCCCCTTTTCCCCTGCACAGGTGTATCCACTCCCTGCCAGCCTCATCTCTCAGCAAGCAGAGCCAGGTGTACAAAACATCCCAGTTTAATCAAAACCAAGGCAGCCTGCCTCAGGATGGCTCCTGAGGGAATGGTCCCCAGAGGCAGGCAGCTGTCCCAGTCCAGTTGCTCCTGGCCAGGGCCAGGGCTGTTGAGCACAGGCAAAGGTGAGGAGATGCCATCAGGCAAGCCCAGAGCACCCAGCACGGTGTCCACTCAGATGCCAGGCACCTCCCTCCTCACAAACAGAGATCCCAGCAGGAGTCAGAAGACACTGAGATGAGGAGGGGGACTGCTCCTGCCTCCTCAGCTCTGAAGAGGCTGGGCAGCACGGATGCTGGAGCACAGTGTGGGCTCTCAGGGCTCCAGCTGGATGTCTGTGGGGCAGTGGAGGTGTGCTAGAAGGCCAACTTCTTCATCAGCAGGTAAACACGAGAGTCCACCTCAAAGCCGTGCAGGTTGTTTGCGTCGCCCTGCAGCCGCATGAGCAGCCCCCCGTAGGACACGTAGGCAGAGCTGAGGTGGGAGGAGAGGAGCAGTGAGAGCAGGGAATCCCACGGGAGACCTGAGCTGAGATCCCAGTGCTCCCCACCCCACCCCAGGGCACCCCACTCCTGACAGGCACTCACAGGCGCGTGGCCGCCTCCGTGGAGGTCTCGTCCCCCTCGATCCGGTACACCTTGCCGTACATCACGTACTCAAACTGGTCTGCCCTGCAACAGCACAGCCTGAGGTCAGCAAGGAACCAAACCTGGCCCTTCCCCCAGCTCAGCGTCCTGTGAGAGAAGGCACCTCCCCGTTACAGAGACAACTAGACTGCAAAAGAGCTCTCAGATCATCAAGTCAAATCTGTGACTGAACACCACCTTGTCAACTAGACACGGCACGAGTGCCACACCCAGCCTTGCTTTAAACAATTCCAGGGATGGCGACTCCACCACCCTCCTGGGCAGCCATTACAATGTTTAACCACCCCTCTGTGAAGAAGCTCCTGTCGGTGTGCAGCCTGAAGGCTCAGCCCAGCACGCCCGTGTGTCCCTCCCTCCCTCCCGGCCGGCCCTGCACCTGGACGGGCGGTCGTCCGTGGGGTTGTACTCGCCGTCGTCCAGGGTGCCGTCCTCGTACAAGGTGCTGGCGATCACCAGGCGGAATTTGTCCCCTGCCAGGAGGCCAGAGCAGCAGTGAGAAGGTCAGGGCACAGCCAGAGCAGCAGCACACGCAGCCACAACTCAGGGGCCACCCTGGCAGGGGGTGCTGAACGAGCCCTGTCCCTGCTGCCAGCCCTCCAGCAGGATGTGGGGAAGCTGTGAAAGGTCACACTGGATCCTGTGTCTCCTTGCTCCCCACATCACAGAGGAAACCACAGCCACAAGGACACCACTGCTGGTGTTTCAGGGGACACAAGATATTCACTTATATCCCCCCAGAGAGCCTGGCTGGACCCTGGGCAGGTGCATGAGCCCCCTGCAGCATCAGCTTCAGCCCTTCTGTATTCCATCAAGGACAATACTCTCTTTTCCACACATTCAGTGTATTTAGCTGCAGAAGGAAGTCTCCCTTAAAGCCCGGTTGCCACAGCTGGAGCAGCTTCCCCAGACAGCATTTGTGTGGAAGGGGACAGAGGTGACCCAGACACACACAGGGAGGTGACCCAGAAACCCAGCTCAGCCTCAGCACAGCGACAGTGCCCTGAACCCTGTCACCTGGGGAGGGCACAGGGGCACCAGGAGGCCTGAGGCAGCTCATTCCCTGATCACAGCCATTCCCAGCTCCATCCCCTCTCGGCCCGCCCAAGCTGACAGCGGCTCACCGAGATCCACGGGGTAGATCTGGATGTTCACGTCCAGGATGAGATCCATCTTGAAGGACTCGCTCTCGCAGTGCAGGCGCGACACTGGGGACAGCAGCACAGTCAGGGCAAGGACACGGGAGGTCCCGGGGGGCTGGGGGGAACAGGGTGGGCTCGGGATGGATGGGTGGGCTCGGGATGGATGGGAGGGTTCGGGATGGATGGGAGGGTTCGGGATGTTCCCGGGTGGGATCGGGATGGACGCCAGAGCCCGGCACAGGCAGGGACAGGAACACGGCGGGGCGAGGAGTGCCAGCCACAGGGCCCGCGGGGCTGTGGGCCGGGGAAGCCCGGGGGAGCGGGGCGCTCCGGGGGCGGCCAACACGCGGAGGGACCAGCGCCGGCGGGAGCGGCGGACGGCGGACCGGGAGAAGCGCGCCGGGGCCCCACTCACCGCGGTCGAACTTCTTGCCCTCTGGGTCGATGTCCTTCACGTCGAAGATGTCCTCGAAGAGGATCCCGGCCATGGCAGCGGCCCCGCTCCCGCTCGCGAGAGGGGTTCGAGGTGTCCCGGGAGGGCAGGGGTGTCCCGGGAGAGATCCGGGATGTCCCGGGAGAGTCAGAGATGTCTCGGGAGGGTCAGGGATGTCCCGAGAGGGGTTCGAGGTGTCCCGGGAGGGGTACGGGGTGTCCCGGGAGGGGTCCGGGATGTCTCGGGAGAGATCCGGGGTGTCCCGGGAGGGTTAGGGATGTCCCGGGAGAGTCAGAGATGTCTCGGGAGGGTCAGGGATGTCCCGAGAGGGGTTCGAGGTGTCCCGGGAGGGCAGGGGTGTCCCGGGAGAGATCCGGGATGTCCCGGGAGAGATCCGGGATGTCTCGGGAGAGATCCGGGATGTCCCGGGAGGGGTCGGGCGTGTACCGGGGGGGGGTCCAAGGTGTCCCAGGATGGGTCCGGGGTGTCCCGAGCGGCTCCGAGGTGTCCCGGGACAGGTTCGGGTTGTCCCGGGTGGGGTCAGGGATGTCCCGGGGGGAGTCCGGAGTGTCCTGGGGAGGAGTCAGGGATGTCCCGGGAGGGGTCCGGGGTGTCCCTCGGTGCCCTTGGGCCCGCGCCCACCCACGGGACGGAGGGGCTCGTCCCGCGCCCCCGGCCGCGGCCGGACCCCGGTGCGATGGGCTGCGCGCACTCAGCCCGCTGTGGGTCTCGGGGCTCTCCCGCCGGCTCCTTCCTTCTCGCCCGCCAGCCGGCGCGGGAAGGGACGTGTGACAGCGTCCCCCGTGTCCTGCCGGTGAACCGTGAGGGCCGCGGCGGGTCGGGCACGGCCGGGGGTGCTCACACGTTGGGCGCCGCGGGGAGCTCCGCGCTTGGCATCTGCTCGGGAGCTGCCGGTGCGGGTTCAAGAGTTCAGCCCCGTCCCCCGCGGTCCCCGAACGCCCCCGCGGCCCGCCCGAGAAAATTCTCCCGTGTCCCAGGAGAGGCTGGGCAGCGGGGTCCCTGTGCCTCGCTTGGGCCGCGTGTGCCCGCGGGATGGGCACAGAGAAGGCTGGCGGAGCCGGCAGGGTGTGATGGGGACTGGGCAGGGCGGGTGTCACATCTCCCCCGGGACCACGGGGTCGTGAGCGGGGATGTCCATGGGATGTGGCTCCCCGTGCGTGGCCCCTGTGCCTGCAGCGAGGTGGCTTCGTGGGGACACAGCCCCTGCTGCCCCCAGGTCGCGGTCCGGGATGGCACCCAGAACCAAGGTGCCCCCGCATCCGCAGCGGGAGGCCTGTCACAGGATGCCTGTGGTCCCCAGACACACAGGTGTGGCCTCTGCATGGCGTGTCCCCTCCGTGACACGGTGCCAGCGCATCCTCACGCATGCCTGGGGCGCAGGCAGCGGAACGGGGCAGGGGGTGACATGCGGCGGGGACACCGGCGTGGGGGGGTGCCGGTGCCAGGGGTCTGCTGGCTCGGCGGGGGAGCGCGGGCGGTTCACGGCGGGGTCACCCCGCGGCGGTGGCACTCAGCGGGGACAGTCCTAATGCGCTGGGACGGAACCTCGGCTCCTTCTAATCATCGTGTCTGGGTAACTCCCCCAAGCCCCGCAGCCCCCTCCCCACCCTGGCTCGGGGAGGGGCAGAAACCTCCTCCCTGCCAGAATGTGGTGGCCATAGACTGGCGCCCCTCTGGCGCAGGGTGAGAGGTGTGGAGCCTTCCCCTCCTGGCATCCCGCATCCCGTGTGCCCGCTTGTTTGGGGTGCAGGACTGCGCTGGACCTGGGCACCCCTGCGCGAGGGGCTGCGGGGGACACCCGGGGCCGTGCAGGTTGCCAGGGGGTGGCAGCAGCACACCGAGCATGGCAGGACAGCCCCAGGGTGTGCCGGAGCGCAGGGAGTCCTACCACAGCCAGGCTCACCAGTACGACCAGTTGCCCTTTCCAGAATCCTCAGGGTGCTGTCCCGGAGGGATGTGACCTGCTTGGCGGACACCAGCCGGCCGGGCAGGGTGGCGTGGGGGCCAGGGCTGTTTTTCGGGGAGGGGTCCATGTGCCAGCCCCTGCTGTACTCAGGGATACCCATTGGGATCCTGTTGTGATTCAGGCTGGAGGGCCATGGCAAAGCTGTGCTCCCTGCCACTGCGAGGTGACACAAAGGGCTGATCCCACCTGGCTGTGCCTGACTGCCCCTGCTGAGACCTGGCACGGTGGGTACAGGCCAGCAGGCAGCTGGGGCTGAGCTCAGCAGCCGGCAGGCAGCCCCAGGGGTGCTGCTGCCCAGCGACCCTGCAGCCAGCACTGCCGCCTGCCTCCCTGTCCTTGCGGGCAGGGCACTGCTGAGCCCCCGCCCTGCGCAGGGTCATGGGCATGCAGCCACCTCCAGGGCCAGATGGGGAAGGGCGGGATGGATTTCCAGATGCCCCACAGATGCCACAGGATCAGGGTGGCAGCAGGAGACCAGCCCAGCCCTGAACCTCCCGAGCAC